GAATGAATTTTACAATGCTCTAAAGCAGAAGACATCCATAAACATCTCAATTGAACCCGCTAACTCCAGCTCTTGCATCTCTTCTTCCGTTGAGGAAAAGGCCGACAGTTCTAAGGAGCATGTAGCTAGTGACCCTTCTAGTCCACAGGCTGTGAACAGCTTAGAAGAGGCCGAAACAGATAACAACATCAGTGAGAGGTCTGTGGGCGAAGAGAGGGATGTGATGTTCGATGCAGCAGCTACTCCTGATGAAGAGGAGGCTGAGTTTCTGAGGTCCCTTGGATGGGATGAAAACACTTGCGAGGACGAAGCCCTTACCCAGGAGGAGATCACTGCCTTCATTGAACAGGTAATAATAAAAAAAATACATTCTTTTTTTTGTAGTCCCATAGTCTCTCATCATATGCTAAACTCAGGAAGCTGAGGTTCTTACACTTGTCTCTTCCACAGTACAAGAAGCTTAAACCATCGCTGCTGCAGAAGCTGTCCGTTATACACGAAGCCACACAAGACATAACCTCCTCAGCTGACACTTAGAATGGTGTCGTTTTTGCCCCCACAAAGCCCGAGAAGAAGACCGTTTTCTTCTTGTGGAAGATAATTCCCTTTCCTTGTTATTTTCTTTCTTCTTTTTGTTTACTTTTTTTTTTCTGAGAAAGGCTGTCATCTATGGCATGGAAGAAGAAAGGGGCAGGACTTAATTTTTTTTCGGGTGGTGGTTGTGGCAAATACTGAAATTATGTGGGAGCTATGAGTTTGCCACATGAAGAGAGAGTCCTGCCTCTGCGAAGGTGAAAGAGGTGACTTTTTTAGGTTGTTTTGGTCTTTTCACGGAGAGCTGTGTCCCTTTGGGTTCTTAATGTTTTGATGGGGAAAGAGGGGAAAGAAAGAAGCCTATGGTATCGTTTCATTGCTTTAGGTGAAGAGAAAACGAATGGAAAGGGTTCATTTTCTTTCTTTTTGTTCTATTATTATTATTATTATTTCAAATCAAAATATAATATCATTTCTAAATTTCAGCTAAAATATGAATTTTTAAAATTTTATTATGATAAATGGAAAATTTTATAAGATAGTAATCACGTCAGAAAAAATTAAATAAAAACATTCGCATAACACATTAAAAAATATACTTCATATATGATATATGTATCATTATACTAATAATATGATTCATAATCATTAAAAATTATATATATAAAATAGATATATATAACAATATTAACAGTCAGATGAGTAAATTTTCAAAATTTTGTATTTTCTCTAGGATTTAGGAATAATTTTATGTTTTTATTTTTGAAGAAATTGAGATTTTTCTAAAAGTGAAGAGATCTCCGGGCTCTATATTACTTTGTTATTAAAAAATATATTTGAATAAAAAGCGTTCGTTAGTGACTTGATAAATTTTTAATTGAAGGAAGGGAGACGGCAAAGCTGAGAACAGGACCACGCCGAAAAGAAACGAACATTTACAGCAAATGTAGTAAACATGGACATGGTCCTGATTCAGTTTTCTCCGCATGTTCCAGTGGTAAAGACGACTTACTCCGAGTGTGATGTCCAATACATTAGCCCACTGCCCACAAAGAAACAAGATTGGTCATTTTGACAATATAACAAATTCATCATCACATTTGATTTGCAGTAGAAACAAAAGCCATGCATGCTTGATTTCTGTGTCTCTCTGTGTGTATATATACATATATTATGGTTGAAAAACACAAGGGGGGCACATTAGAAAAGATCCCAACATTTGAGGTTAAACTATGAATGTTAAAGAAACTAATGATCTGGTCCCCAGATTCAAAGTGGTACCATCAACCCAAAAGACTATATATAGTCAGTATATCACTTGTGTTGCTTTATGTAAATCATTCAACTTCAGAGGTTCCCATTATCAGTTTTCCTTTCAGGAGCTGAATGTTTTCTACGTCGTCCTCAAGAAGAGTGACATATAAACAAAAATAAAAACAGCGGATTCGAGATCAAGCACCAAGAAACCTAACAGACAGGCGAAGCTTTTGAGAATACAATTTGGATGAGACAAACATGGCAGGTCTGGAGGGATTTACCTTATCAACACAAATACACATTGAAAGATACCCGCGACACCAGTCCACGCCGACGGGCCAGTTTTCACAAGCGAGTCTTGTATCAGTAATCCGACAGATGCGGCTAGGGAAACAAAAGCTACAACGTATGCTATGAACAACCATAGCTTCAATCTGTAACAACAAGCAGAAACGTTTGAAAAAAGAAAACAAAGAATATAAAGTTATCACGCTAACGAGCAAAAAACCCGTCGAATCATCCGGTGAAACAATTGCCTGTCAGCCACAAATTTTACCTAAAACCTCGGTTCTTACCACAATGGGTATGATCTTAGTTCAACACATCCCAACTATATTGTAGTTGACATAGAATGACAGATTCTTCTCTCAATCCTACGACTGGATCAGCAATGTGACGTGATCTCAACTTAAGCGAGTTCAAAATCTTCACAGATCCAAACACCCAGCGGAAATCAAACAAATTCAATCGAAATCAAGTGCTTTTAATTTAACAGAACAAAAAAAAAAGAAGAAGCAATTAATCGAGCTAACCTCCACTCGCCATCGTCGTAAGGAGAGTAATCGATATCCTCTTTCCTCACGCAATTGAACATCAAAGCTGCAAGAGACGCAGATATGCCTGCGATTCCCCAAATTAGAAACCCTAATTCGCGAATCATGAGAGACATGTCGCTTGAGAGCGATTCACACCTGGGAGATAGTGGACAAACGGAACTTGGACGGAGCTGCAGACGACGGCGTCGACCCAGAACCACCATCCGGCTCCGAACACCGCTCCGGAGACTCCCGGTCCGAAAATCGCCCATAGCTCGGTCATATCCATGGTTCGATGAATCCTCTCCACTGGGTTTTTCTCAAATCCAACCGAAGATGATGACTTATCGCCGTTCGATTTGCCTTTACTTCTCTGCCTATTGTCAAAACTACGAAACCCTCGTTAAAGCCCCAATGGGAAACTATGTAATTTTAGCTAGCACGTTAAATCTAGGCTGGCGTTTGCCTACGATTTTTTTTAATATATGAAAAATGTAAAATAACTAAACAATTCTAAAAAAACTTTAAATATAAATATTTTTCAACAGAAGAATCAAATAACTGAATTTTGGGAGAATTGAAAGGTCCAATTAGGCCTTGCCAAAAAAACCCGAATTTTGGATATCCGACTCGATCTACGGGTCGGATATCCAAAATTTGGGGTATTCGAGAGAATAAGATATGAGATCGGTTAATAATATTGGAATATTCGAATTTTCGGATTCGAATAATTGATATTATCTCACGAATACCCGTGGATATCCGGAATAAAAATTTATCCTTTCAATTTTAGTTTTTTATTAGATATTGTATTATTTTATTTGATATTAATGATTATATAGATATGATTGATATATTTATAATGTATTTTTTTAAAAATAAATTTATTTTGGATATAAATACAATTTAAATTGATTTTGAATGGTTTTGAATATGTATATATAAAAATATTTTAAAAAATTGATTAAAAATAATTAAAAATATTTGGGTTCAAGACTCGTGGACATCCGATAATTATCTCACGATTTTTTAGTTCGGATATCCAATTTCACGGGTATGAATTCGGGTAATAAAATACATAATCCGAGATATTCGGGTTTAGATTCGGGTACTCTTAATTTTTCGGATACCCGACTCCAATCAACTCTGCAATCACTTATTAGAATCAATAGGTCTTCAAATCGTTCATTTGAAAAAATTGAAACCTTTTTTATTGAATGATTATAATACTTCTCAAAAATTAGAATTATAATAACCACTTACCTAACTTTATTGAAAAAAAATTCGGGATAAATGATTGGACCATACAAATTAACAATCGAGATTTTGTAGGACTATACACAGAAGATCTTTTTTTGACTCTCTCTTTAGTTCTATATCTCTTATCCCCATGAATCAGAATAGAAGAGTTTGTCCTATCCATGAATAAATATTTTATAGTCCCGTCCTAGTGGTTGATGATAAGTCTATATTAGATTATAGGTTTGAAACCCGAATATGAAAATTTCCATGAACCGGTTAGTTTTGGCTGGCGCGATAGCGATTATTCGGCCCGAAGCCTATGGAACGATGTGGGGTCTGGTCTTCCCACCGTTATAAAAAAAACGAATTTAAAAATCATGGAGCTAACCGGGAATCATCAGGCTGGTAGAAAAACAACGTCGTTTGCCTGAAACGGCACGTTTTGCCGTCGTTTTTACAAGTGGTACAATCCTAAACATGGATATGATGGGCCGTTGCCTAGGCCCAAGACGTACGAATTATTATTTTGTAGGACTGGTCCTTTCCTTTGGATCTCTAAAATTCAAACCGAATAGAAGTAACATTTAATGCCACATTTAATTTGTACTATTTAGCATTAAATGACTCCGATCTATACGTGATATGATATATGATGTTAATAGACAAAAATTCTAATAATTTTACATGATTTATATGCCAATCAAGTATTAATTTTTGTAAATATCGTGTATAAAAACTTCTATTAACCTCGTTTTAATTGAAAAACTCAAGAAACGAAGCACAAACAAACGAATCAAAGTCTCGTTTTAATTTGTACAGAAACCAATACCAAATATATAGACTATATATATATATAAAACCTCAATTAATCTCTACATTGATTAAGATCATCAAGATCGTTGACTAAGTCAAACTGTGGTAGTGAACTGCATCTGATGACGTGTCATCTTGTTCTGTATCTGTTGAATCTGCAAACTCCTGAGCTCCAAGCCACCGGATCTCCTCTTCCACAGATTCTCCGCCGCCTTGTCGCCTGTTTGCTTCTTCTTCACCACCGGCAGCGGTGTATCCATGTCCACAAGATCCGCGACAAGCCCTTTACTGCTCTCATCAATCTTATCAGACCCTTCACTGTTCTTCACCAACTCTTGCGATCCTCTTCTTCTTCTTCTTCTTCTTGTCGGAGAATTAGGGTTTGTAGTGACGGAGAGGCTCTTGCCGGAGAAGAGGCTCTTGAGGTTGGAGTAGTGATTGTGTTTGCTGCTGTTGCGAATGGTGGTGGTGGTGGTGTTTATGGGGAGGGTAGTGATCTTGTTATTGCGCTTGACTTGGCCAATGCAACTGATCTTTGGCGAAAAAGGGTCTTGATCTTGGAGGGAGAGAGATTCTGGTTTCGGGATTGTCTCGTTCTTTATCGATGTTCTTGAGCACAGCATTGGCAATAACGTTGCTCTCGTGATTTGGAGAGATCCCGTGATGTCCTTTCTCCGACCCATCTCTGCTTCTCTCTTGATTTTCTCCTTCTTCAGCTACAGAGAGACAGACAGAGAGAGAGAGAGAGAGAGAGAGAGAGAGAGAGAGAGAGAGAGAGAGAATGGTGGAAGAAGAGGATTTTGCAAGACGTTGTTTCATGGATTAGTTGAGGACAGAGTCTAGGCTTTGATGGTTAAAAGGGGAGAGAGAGAGAGAGAGAGAGAGAGAGGTCAAAGGAGTAATGACTAATGAAGAGGCTTTGCGGGAAAGGAAGACAATAATTATTATGGATTTTTTACATTCACCTCTCTTTCTTTTTTTAACAACTTAACCATGCATGAATGGCATCATCCATATCCGGTGACAGATCCTTCGTATCTTTCAAATTTTCTTTCTTTAACTTTGTTCTCATACATGCATGCTCGTGTTGAATTGTAATATCAGAATTTGGATTCGGTTATAAATTCAGATAATGTAAAATTACCCCAAGATACGTAAGAAATGAATTAGATGGGACCCTACAATATCTTTGGCCATTGGAATCACGTGCTCGCTAAACTGATCCCAAAGGAACAAAGGAATACAAAATAATGGACGAGGGGCGGTTTGGATGAACGTGGAAATGGCAACATGAATGGCCAAAGACAGATCATAAAGTTAAGATGCACAAAAGCTGTTCATCATTGCCTGAGGATTCCTGCGACTCCTCTCACTGACAATTTTCTAAGTTTTCGGTGAATCCGAACCTGAGTGGCTCGAATTTCGCTGACAAGTAAGTTCATCACCGGATAGAGACGTGCCGCCGTGCTATGATCAACTCGATTGTGGACTGCGGCCTGTCCAAAACCTGACAGAAGTGCTCGGACAATGTCCATGTTCTTCTTATATATTGAAATTGCTTTTGCATCAATATTTGAGATGAAACGATGAAACTGCACCATGGGCAACGGCTATACTCAGAAACCCATAGATGATAATGCAAACCCGGAAGACAAAATTTCAACCTCGGCTGTCTGGTTCATACAAACAACAGAAAGAACAAAGACATGAAGAAGATGGCATAACCCCAAGTTCCCACCACTTGAATAGAGACTATCTATGAGAATCTGTGGAAATGCAGTGGAATTATTAAATCTAACCTCGACGAGCCGTGGATTACACGGAATCTTGAATCTTGTTGAGGGTTTCGGCCAAAATACATTATACGCATCTGCTGAAC